TATTTGCCTTGAGGAAAAAGGAGGAAGGCGCAGTTCGGCGATTGTGGGGAGGGGGGATTTTGTATTTTTCATTGCTTCTCTAGTTCCGATTCACAAGTCTCACTCAGGTAAAGCCTGCGAACACTGGTGAAGCTGGACCAAGGTCGTCAATCCATCAAAATGAAACCTGTAAGCTCCAGAAGAGGCTGTCTAGGTAGGTCGATGGGAAGTAGCAAACGTGCAATATGCCCCACCCGTCGCCGAACTGCGTCGAGGAGGTACTCATCAACGATGTGCAGAAAGCCTCTACTGCGTGGGGCTTGAATCTATTACGTGTGATTCAGGATCTCTCCAAGTGCTACTTAAAGGTTCTTGCTGAAGCAGGATTTTTCTTTTTGCTATAATGGCTGACTTCTGGTGGATTTTAGAGAGCGAAACAGCTTCCTTCTTTTGATATTGTGCTGTGCTGAAGATATTTTCGAAGCGGAATTTTTAGTCAAACCCCGGAAGCTGACAAGCGAACACAATAGGTGGAAAATGGGATGGCGCCGCGCCAATCTGGGCTGTCTGGAACGTCTCAGCGTCCGCACGGGACAAGAATGTAGCTAGTTCTACCTTCTTTCGAGTCGGATATGAACCCGCGGATTCCGAATTTTTGAATTTCCCTTTTGTTGTTCTATTGGTGAAATGTCTACAAAGCAACCATCAACACTTATGATTAATGGTTAACACTTCCTTCTTAGTTTCAGTGTAGAGTTTAAAATAGTATGCAGTCATCATCCCTATCCCTACGAATGGGTGTGTGAGGGGGTGTGAACTGCAGCGCAGCCAGAGAGGCTTATTCCACCAATTGATTCCATCCTGAACCGCCTTGGCTGCGCTGTAATACACGCCCCTGCCCACGCCCTCTCGTTTGCAGAGATGAAGCCTGCAGTTGATCTTTCACGACCTATCTCTAGATGGGGGTTTTTAGTGGGACAACGAATACACTTTTATAATTTGGTGATAGCCGCGAGAGCTGCAGAAAGTCCTCGCATTCAAACTACTCATTAAAGGTTTCGAAGATAGTGTAGAGCAATGGCACTTCTTACCAGGTCACCAAATCAAATCCCA